CATCTATGCGTAAAAACAATCAAACAAGTACTCACGGTGGGCATAGCATGTACGTACACGTCATACCTGGCACCAAGGGGTTAAAAGTAATAACATCAGTGCTCTCACAGGAATCAAGTAACCTAAATAAAATAAAAACTGAGCTGAAGCACAATTTAGTTTAGTGTGATCAGCCATATTAAGAATGTGCATTTATTTACGAGTAACAGGTTTTTACTTACAGACTCAATCTTTTATGGAAGATCAACCCTCTCAAGCATAGAACACTGTATTACAATGAGGATACAAAAGTAATTATATACACCTACATGCACAAAAACCTTTCATATCAGTATAATAAATAGATGCACACACAAAGCCATATACATATCATCAATATATGACACATAAGACCGAGTAAATTTGAATGAACATGAGTGTGAACACTCATGCATATGCTTGCCAACATATGTATGCTTGCTAATGTGTGTCTGGGTGGGCATGCTTCCACACGAGTGCAGTAATGCACAAGCTTGCATTTATGTGTCTACATACAAACTGATTAACTAGTGTAAGAAAATAAATATATACATATATAATAAAAATGTATTAACCATATCATGGGAAACTATCACATTTTCAAAAAAAAACAAAAAAAAATGTTTACCTTTGAAGACTTGTATAATCTATCACAGACTAATACTAGAAAAAGTACACTTTCTGCAAAGTTCTCCACCACCTGATATGAAAGAATAGCTGCTATGAGTTAATCAGTCAACAGGCTCAAGATGAAATGATGATTCACATACTGGAGATCAGAGCTGTCCGTTGAGGAAAAACCTGCCTAATGGTAAGAATAATGGCAAAATAAATAAAAAGATTAAATAAATTAATACATTAATAAACAAAAATAAATAGATAAACAAATAATAGTAATAACAGTAAACATTACAATACTTTTAGCTATGCCAACAGCATACACAAAACAGGAACCAAAGTGAAGTGCTACAACAAGACCCTAGCCACTTCTCATTGTAAAGAGCATGCACCAGGTAACTTACGCCTTAATAAACACTCAGCTTACATAATATACACTTAGCAATACATGATGAACAGAAAATATTACAGAACCCTAGGCTACATAGTGACAGTGAGTTACAATTTCCTACCTTGCATATTAGCAACAAGTTAAAAGTCTTCACATATCTTTTCTGTTTCTTGATTTGTTGCTTTTAAAAACACTAACATTTATCAGTTCACATTTAAAAATTAAACTGTGGGGCTCAAAAACAGACAAATATACATACATACAAAATGATACATTTTACTCCAGTTATCTTGTTAATCATAATAAAATTATTTCAAGTTATGCAATTAATTATCATAAAATTATTTACTTTTCAAACAAGACTTTTTAATTATGCCTATTTAACAATAACATATAATGGTTTATATAGTGACAGGACAGACGGAGCATGCTTTTTGTTTATACATTTATGTAGTACAGAAAGTCAACCAAAATTCATTAAGCATTAGTCCCCTACTTATATAAAACTTAAAAAATAAAAAACACTAGACTAATCGATACTCTACAACACTGCACAAAATAACCAGAGCACCTGCACCTCTAAAGAGGGGGAGGGACAGGGCGGGAGAGACCCCCTCCGCCCCCTGGCACCCGGGCCAGGGCGGGAGACAGGCTGCGCCAAAAAACCGTCACAGTATAAAAGGTTCACCTACCCTATCCGACTCATCATCATCACCATCAACTCATCATCAACTGTAGCACCCATCATCAAACATCAACCAGCATCTAGAGAGGGACAGAGTTGAACAGGAAGGAGACGGATTCTCCATTGTGGGTCCTACGGATTGCCTCGGCCAAAATGTTGGACACGTCAATCAACTGCAAGAAGGCAACGGTGCGCGCTGCAGGATCAGTCTGGCTTCAACAGGGATTAAACATGAGGGTTTGGGAGAAGGGGGGGGGGGATACAATGAGAGGGGATGAAGAGTCAAACAGGAGGGAAATAAAAGGAGAGAAAGGAGGGAATGGAAACACAGGAAGGAGAGGAGGAGGAGGAGGAAGAGGAAGAGAAAGGGAGAGGAGGAGGAAGAGGAAGAGAAGGGGAGAGGAGGAGGAAGAGGAAGAGAAGGGGAGAGGAGGAGGAAGAGGAAGAGAAGGGGAGAGGAGGAGGAAGAGGAAGAGGAGAGGAGAGGAGGAGGAAGAGAAAGAGGAGAGGAGGAGAGGAGGAGGAAGAGAAAGAGGAGAGGAGGAGAGGAGGAGGAAGAGGAAGAGGAGAGGAGGAGGAAGGGAAGAGAAGAGGAGAGGAGGAGGAAGAGAAGAGAAGAGGAGAGGAGGAGGAAGAGAAGAGGAGAGGAGAGGAGAGGAGAGGAGACGAGAGGAGGAGGAGGAGGAGGAGGAGGAGGAGGAGGAGGAGGAGGAGGAGGAGGAGGAGGAGGAGGAGGAGGAGGAGGAGGAGGAAAAGAAGGGGAGAGGAGGAGGAGGAGGAGGAGAAAG